ATGAAAAGATTCCTCAATGTTCTTAGATACCTGTAGTGTATTTTGTGGTGGTTGCAAGCATTTTCAGAAAATTCAGGTCACCTTATGCTCTGGATCCGAGACAAGCCAGAATTAATGGGAGTTGCACCCTTGTTAGAGGAGGACAACACCGAGTCCTGTGTCTATTATGTAGATTGAAATTATTGTAAGAATTTTAACTTTGTGATTTGTGAACTCTAGAGTGAGTTTTTCTAAATTCAATGTTATTACAAAATAATTAACTTTAAAATCATAATATTAACAAGCTCATATTTTACTATATATAATTTTTAATGAATTTGTTCAATGTTTTGTTCATAGTATGTTTTTATGCCTTTTCCCTTTTTATAGATGGTCTTGGACATCACATATTTTGAGGAAAACCAACTTGTAGATGAAGATTTTCCAGAAGATTCTTCCTTACAGAGAGTTAAAGAACTTATCAGTATTCTTTCAGAACCAGAGGTTCTAGTTAAAGAAAGCAACATGCATCAAGATGTGAGTACTGAATTATGGCAAATGACCTTATTTCAAATGGTTGGGGGTTTTAATAGAGAATGACACTTATTTTTAATTTTGATGGATAAACCACAAAATATTCTGAGGTCTCTTTAAAAGGTTCTGAATCTTATCTGTCTATAAGCACTGATTCTTGAATGATGGTCCATAGACCATTTTTAGAAGCAGCTCGCTAGACTCTCACAGTGGTGGTTCTTGCTAGTTGTAGTCTGGTCCAGAACTCACTTAGTTTCAAGAGACCTTTTTGGCTGCTTAACCTAAAAACAATAAACTCTGTGCCTTTCACAGTTCTCATGTATTTCTTTGATTTCCTGGGGCTAAAACAACAGTTTTGGTTCAGCTTTTGAATTTTATTTCAGCTAATTAGTGTTCTTGGTACAGAGTTGTTAGAATGTCTATCCTGGAGACGAGGAGCTCTACTCTACATGTATTGTCACACTGTAAAAGAGAGAGGATGCTGGCTAACAGAAAACACTGACTTGTTTAAAAAGGTAAAGCCCCTTTTCTTCACAAGCAGACATTTTAAAATTTGTTGTAATTCTAACAAGTTGATGATCATGGGATAACTCTGATCCTCAGACAAGCTGTTTGCTTTGAGTTAGATTGGAGTTGTTGACAAAATCACAACAGCCACAAAATACATTAGATTTTTTAATCTATCCACAGTTTTCTCTTCTGTCATTGGACTGGCTCAGTTTGGATCACAGTTGGAAACTGGGAGTAAAATTTTCACAAGCACCTAAGTGACTTAGGACTTGTCTACATGGGAAAATTTTACCAGCTATGCTGCTATAGTTAAACAGATATAGTTATACTGATATAAACCCCCTTGTGGATATTCTTTTTCAGTTTTCTTGAATCCCTTCCAAAGGTTTTTCTTTTTTTTTTTTATATAAAAAAGGCACTCTTAAATGTAATAACTGTTGTTGAAATTTAAACTTTAATTTATAATGGTATAACTTTCCCATGTAGACAGACCCTTAGGATACCAAATCCTATTCATTTTTTTGAGACTTAAGGACATAAATGTGTATATCACACTTGAAAATAGGATTTAGGCTCCTAAATCACTTAAGCACTTTTGAAAATTTTGCCCTTCAACACTGTCTGTTTTAAAAGTTAAATAAATTATTTTATCTGTTCAGCAGCCATTTGAAAAGTTACTTGAAAATACTTCTGTTATGTTACCAATTAGTACATTAAATTTAATTTGAGCTGAATTTTTAAACATAATCTCCCTAAAATAGCAATTTTAAAGTAGTCTTAACTAAAATCATAAATATAGCAATCTAATATGGCTTATGTTGCATATCTGAACACAGGAAGATGAAAAGTTAATTTCATGGATTTGTGACTCTCCGTAAATTAAAAAATGACTTTTGCCTTCAAAATTATATTCATCTTATTGTTTTTCCTTCACATAAGTACTTGGCAAATATTTTAATTTAAAATAATTCTGACTAGAATTGATTACATTGCAGTTGATCTAATTTGTTGTTTGCTGTTCTAACACTTCTCTATTTTCTGTGTAATTTATATTCAGTGTCTTAATGATGGAATCCATTACTTACTGAAGATGCTAAGGTTTAGATACCCTACTCAGCTAAATGATGTCTCATTTCAGGATACAGACACAGCTAGACTGCTCAGTGAAGGTAAATTGTTCTCCTCCTGTTCCCTCTCCTTTATAAGATCCTCTACCACATAATTTGAACTTCACTCACATTCAAATTCTGTCCCCTTTTAAGAACAATAAATCATAGAAACAGGCAAGACTAGTGGACCCATCAAATTGTCCTCTTTTCCTGTTCTGAATTGTGGATATGGGGGGAGGGGGGAAGGGAAGAGAGAGAATAAGACAATTAGCTGAACTATAAATTCATCTCAGGAAAATGGACAGCTGAATGATCTAGTTATGGGATACAAAGCCTTTGACATCTAGGTCATTGGTTCAAATTCTGGTCCAGATCATCAGTGCCCAAAAGTTATTAGCATCTGAAGACAGTTTGGTGCCAGTATGTTGTATGATCTGTCCAGTTCTCAGTAGGCAAGTGTCAACAGCACAAAACCCACTATACGTGGTACTAAGTGGTACCTTGCTGGCAGTCTCTGCAGTCATGCCTAGGATTAAATGGACATGGTCGATTAACTGTGTTCACAGTGTTAGAGATCGTACTTCCAGAACTGGGTTGAGTCACATTAGGTAGAGTTGGGACATTTTTACTGTCACTGCCTATGCTGTACCTGTTCTATGGCTATATATATCACTATTGCTATTAATGCTTTTCACCTGAGGATCTTAAAGTACTTTAAAAAAACTGAGTTTAGCTTCACCCCTCCCCCCAAAAAGCACCACTTGTATATAACATTTTAGTCAAATGTTTAAAAAAAACAATGGGGGGGGTCACTATTCAACAAATTCTGTTGAGGTGGCACTGTACATTTATATAAATTATGAAAATTGAAGCACCCGGTGGTTAAATGAATTAAACAAATTCAAATAGGAAGTGTTTTGGAGCTGGGATTAGGACAATCACCTGGGCTTTCAATCTAGCCTTGTCATAAGTATATAATTCACTTTTTATAAAGTAAAAAGAATTAATAGGACTTTTTTTTTTTTTTAAATCTTCATTTCTTTAGTAATGTTTTTTCTTTGTAAAACGCCATGGATATCTTCAGTATGGCACTGTCCAAATACTAAAGCTACTAATACTACTGGGGAGCTGCTTTTTAAACACAGTGCTGCTGAGGAAGTGCAGAAAAGTTTGTTTACCTACAGTATTTTAAAAAAATCCTTTGCCTCTGTAGTGACATTCTGTATTTTTATAAACCATTGCAATAAACACTGATATTTGTCAGAAAATTGTACATGGCAAAGTCAGTATTAAAACCCCTCTTCTACTAGAAGACAGAGTGGACAAAGTAATGAATTAGGATTTAGACTTGGAGTCTTTTTTGCTGCTTTGCCACTGGCCTACTGGGTGACCTTGTGCAAGTTACTTCACTTCTGTACTTTCTTGTATTCTTCTGTAAAATGAGGATAATTATATTTACTGCCTTTTGTAAAATTCTTGAGATCTGTTGAAAAGCACTAAGTTAATGATTATTTATTTGTTAAACAGAATAAGAGGGGGGAAATAGGTGTGTCATGTCACCTGGAGTCTTGAATTCTAAACTGTTTTTGCAGGTATATTTAGTGATACCCATGTTCTGGCCATGATGTATATTGGAGAAATGTGTTACTGGGGTCTGAAGCACTGTGGAGAAGAAAAGCCTGGAACCCATGAAATGGATTCTGAATCTAATACTGAACTGTATTGCAGCTTACATAGTGCAGTGCTGGATTTCCGAGAAGTAGGAGAAAAGATGTTAATGAAATATGTAGCTGTGTGCGAGGGACTCTTAAAAGGACAAGACTGGAATACTGCAAATGCAAAACTAATCTTGGACTACTTCAAGACATTCCAGAGCTAGCTTAATTAACCAGTTGCTGTTATCCATTCTTTACAAGAAAGTTGCAATATATGAAGAACACAAGTAGAAAGGTCAATATTAAACTGAGACAAAACACTATTAAAAGCTCAGTAGGGTGACTGTTTTTCTTGTGCTACTGGAAATTTTACCCCTCCAATTCTGAAAGCTACTGGGGGGAATTACTATTCATGTGGTTAAAAATAACTTACAATCTAGTGAGCCTCCAATCAGGCAAACTGCCTGCCTTCTCAGTATTAAATTTTGAAGATGGTGGATGTATACACACACACTCACTTTTGGTACTGAATGGTTCAGTAGTCATAGAACTGCTGGTTGTGCTGAGGATAACACAGCTGCTCTACAGTCATGGATAACTATGATAGCGGAGAAAAACTTTGTTTATGGGGGATTTTGTCATACGTACAGCTGTGACTCACTACCACATCACAGGTGAATAGTGAAAGTGAGAGTCTATTATAGCTTTAGGTAGTGTGCTTAAAATCTATATGTCCTCCCTCTCCTGGTACAGATCGTAGGTAAAAGCCCTTTCCAGTGCTGGGGAGTAGGTTTGAGGTTGTTTCTAAAGAAGCCCTGAGCTCAGTTCCAGCCTTTCCTGCTGTAGGGCTGCCTCATCCAGCTGCTCCAATTCTTAAGCCTAGTTAACAGTGCAGCAGCTCTCACCGATGCACCAGGGATACATGCAGCTGAGCTGTGGCCCAATTATCGTTCCGTGGGTGCGGAGCTCCCGCCAGGGACGGGTCCAGACACGCTGCACCGGGTGGGCTGAGCCCAGGGCTGGCTGCCGTGCTACCGCGGGAGGCCGGGGTTTCCTCCTGTCCTGAACGGCAGGGGCGCGTGGGGCCCCCGGCACCGGGGTGGCCTCTACCGGGAGCGCCGTGCGGAGCAGCCCGGCACCGCAGCTGGGAGGCGGCCGGGGTGGGGCGTGGGTTTTCGGTGACCCGGTAGCGCTCCCCTCTCCACGCCCGCTCCCTGCCGGCCGGACAGTCACCCAGCGAGCTGGAGGCCGGGATCTCCGAGCCTCCAGGGCCTGGCAGCGAGCGCTTGCCCAGAGCGAGCAGCCCCCCGGGGGCTCTCTCGGCCGCAGCCGGTGGGCGAGGCAATGGCAGCGGGCAACGCCGGGCACTGGGGCCGCCTGGAGTCCGCCCTGCGCAGCCGCCTCTGCCTCCTCCGGGACAGGTGGGCCCGGGGGCCGAGTCAACGCGGCGGGCAGGCGGCGGCCGCGGCCACAGAGCGGTCGAGCAGCGGCATCGAGGAGGCCGGCGAAGACGTTTGCGCCCTGCAGACGCTGCCGGTGAGTGAGTCATTACCCGGTTCCTGCCACCCCTCCGCCCAGACCAGCCATCTGCCTTCCTCCCGTCTCTAACCCACCCACCCCGGGCTCTCCTCCTCGTCTCTCTTGACCACTTCAGCCATCCGGTTCCCATCCTGTTGGCAGCACTTGGGTGCTCCCATAAATCAAAGGCATGATCATATTATTCTGGCATACCCTCAGAAATTACCACCTGGGGGTTCATGTCTGATACTCAAAGGCTCTTTTTCACAGGGGTTCTCACAACACATTTTTTGGTGGCCTCACAGTGTGGCCACCAACTCTTGCTGGTGGCCCCACTCACACTTTTTCCTAAAACACTTAATTAACTTTAGGGAAAATAAATAAATATGCACGTATACATGTCCAACTCACTGTAATTTATGTATGGCTTTTTTGCAGACTCAATAATAAATATAATGCTGTGAAAAGTGATATTTGTATGTTTGTTAATATCACTTTTCACAGCAAGTCCTGGCAAATTAAGGGGGGGCTGGGAGGATGGATGCGGGGCTGGGGGAGGCTGCAGAGGTCAGAGGCGATGGATGGGGGGGCCCTGCCAATGCGTGGTTGGGGGTTGGCGGCCGCTGCTGTGCGTTCAGGGCTGAGGATCGGGGGGTCAGCACCGGAGCCAGCACCTGCTGCTGCGAGACCGGGGCCAAGGGTCGGCACCCAGGCTCAGCACTTGGGGTCCATGCCCGCTGCCACACGACTGGGGCAAGGGGTTGGCATCAGCATCTAGGGCCAGCACCTGCCGGAGCCTGGGGTCGGTGCCCGCTGCCACGTGATCAAGGCTGGGGATTGGCGCCCGTGGCCAGCACCCGCCGGAGCCCAGGGTTGACATCCAGACGCAGTGTCTGGGGTCAGCAACTAGGGCTGGGGGTAAGAGCGTGTGGCCGGGGTTGGCCCCTGGGGCCTCCAGCCACCGCTGGGGTTGGCGCTTGGGGTCCACACCTGCTGCCATGCGGCCAGGGCTAGGGGTCAGCATCCAGAGCCAGCAAACCGCCGGAGCCCAAGGCCGGGGATCTGAACCCAGGGCCGGCACCCAGGGCTGGGAATCTGCACCCAGGGCCGGCAACCACTGGAGCCCAGGGTTGGCGCCCAGGGTCAGCGACCACGGCTGGGAGTCAGAGTGTGCTGCCAGGGATCAGCGCCTGCGGCTGCCGCTGGGGTTGGGGGTTGGTGCCATGTGGCGAGAGCCGGGGATCGGAGCCTGCGGCTGTGCAGCCAGGGGTTGGAGCCTGAAGACCTGTGACTGAAGGCCAGTGCCACGTGGCCAGAGCTGGGGGTCAGTGCCTGAAATCCTGTGGCTAGAGCCGGGTGTTGGCACCTGAAGCCCCATGGCTGCAGCAGGGGGTCTGCAGACAGGCTCCCTAAGTCCCCACTCCATGTCTAAAGCATGAGCCCAACTAAGCCACTCTTCCGCCCCCAGGTAGAGAACTCAACTTGCTCCTTCAGCGTTGTTCCCCACCTGTCTCCAGAGATGGTGCAGGGTGGTGCATCCAAGAGCAACAGAGATGGAGGGAAAGGGTCTATGCTTTGCCCCCTCCCCCCCCACCCCCGTCACCACCCAGGAGGCTGTCCTGGCTACAGGGAAACCCCCTGGTGGCCGCATGCAGCCACGGTGGCCAAATTTGAGAAACGCTGATTCTAGCAGATAAAGGCATAACAAGATTCAGTGGCTGGAAGCTGAAATCATCAAAATTCAACCTGGAGATAAAGTGTACATTTTTTAACAATGAGGATGATCAATCATTTGGAGTCTAAATCCAGATTGGACATCTTTCTAAAAACTATGCTCTTATTCAGCCACAAATTATTGGACTAGATGCAGGAATTGCGGATAATCTATGGCCTGTGTTATGCAGGAAGTCAAGCATGGTCCCTTTTTGACTTAATAATGTAGTGATCTGTTTCATGTTTATACTTTTGCATGTGAAGTAATATTACTTTTGCTCTTATTTTTCCCTCCTAATCTCTTCTATTTGCATTAGTGAGGTCCTCGGTCATTAAAACTGCTCTTTTTTAACGTTTTCAGATTGATGTGCAGTTATACATTATGTCATTTCTCTCACCCCAAGACCTGTGCCATTTGGGAAGCACAAATCAGTACTGGAGTTTAACTGCGCGGGATCCATTGTTATGGCGATATTTTCTCTTGCGGGATCTCCCTTCTTGGTCTTCAGTTGACTGGAAATCACTTCCAGATGTGGAAATCTTTAATAAATCATTTTCTGAGCTAAATGATAATGCATTGTATGACTACATGACAATGTAAGTATTTTACGTTTCTCCAATGTGTATAAAGCAGTATAACTCTCACCAAATCCAGATTTTAAAACCACAACTTTGCTAGTCTAATTATAGGAAAATATTACTTGACTCTTGAAGTGGTTTTGCGGATAAAATGCATTTCTGGTTCCTTGAAAGGAAGTTTCTAATTATGTAACAATTCTCTCAGTTCTTTCTGTTTGCAATATTAGTACATTCCTATTTAATTCCAAAGGATTTCAAAGCATTTTGCAAATGATACATATACAACGCCACAGAAATGCAGCCACCTCAGAATAGGAGTTAGAGAGCCAGCCACAGCATGCTACACAAAAAGTGTGGTGGGGGAGGTGGTGAAAACATTTTTGTCCAGAAGACAAGCAAACGCCTACTCTTACCAAAAGTACTATGTAGAGCAACTGGGATTTTGGTTTTTAAGGTCTTATCTGACAGACTCAGGTACAGTAAATTGCATGAAAAATCTATCTATACATTCAGTCAACTACATTAAAAGAATATTAATGTTGCAAAGTCAAGCACTCATCAAATAAACCAGAGGTCCTTTGGAAAAAAATAGTATTTCATGTAATAAGCATAATAATGCATATGCACAAAGGGACTGAATTATGGTTGTCCAGGCTACCTTAATTTTGGCATTTCCTAACTTTTGCATCTTGACTTTGGAACTTTAATGTTCTTTTAACGTAGCTTTTTTTTTGGATACAGTTTCCTAATTTAAAAAAAATGGGGAAAAAATCTGTTACATGGAACAATATTGGCAATAGTTGGTGTTCTCCAATATGTGGATCAGCCACTAGAGAGGAATGAGACACATGCTTTGCCAGTGCTGTGCTTTCACAATTATTTGCTGACAACAGAGGAATGTAGATGCTCAGGATTCCCGGGTTCAATTCTAGGTTCTGTGTTCAAGAGGGCACAGACCCTTATATCCGTATACTCCTAGCCAGTTCTTGTTCCCCTTTCTTTTATCCACCTTCTGGTTCCTGCCTCTCTCTCACTCTACTCTTGTTCAACTCCCTGCTTCTGCCCTCTTCCCGCTGGACATTGTGATTGCAGAGCCATTGGCCATTATCTTTGAAAACTCATGGCGATCGGGGGAGGTCCCAGATGGCTGGAAAAAGGCTAATGTAGATCCCATCTTTAAAAAAGGGAAGAAGGAGGATCCAGGGAACTACAGGCCAGTCAGCCTCACCTCAGTCCCTGGAAAAATCATGGAGCAGGTCCTCAAGGAATCAATTCTGAAGCACTTAGAGGAGAGGAAAGTGATCAGGAATAGTCATACCTGACTAACCTAATTGCCTTCTATGAGGAGATAAATATATATGGAGATACACCTATCTCATAGAGCTGGAAGGGATCCTGAAAGGTCATCAAGTCCAGCCCCCTGCCTTCACTAGCAGAACCAAGTACTGATTTTGCCCCAGATCCCTAAGTGGCCCCCTCAAGGATTGAACTCACAACCCTGGGTTTAGCAGGCCAATGCTCTAGTCACTGAGCTATCCCTCTGTGGGTCTGTGGATGAGGGGAAAGCAGTGGATGTGTTATTCCTTGACTTTAGCAAAGCTTTTGATACAGTCTTCCACAGTATTCTTGCCGGCAAGTTAAAGAAATATGGGCTGGATGAATGGACTATAAGGTGGATAGAAACCTGGCTAGATCGTCGGGCTCAACGGGTAGTGATCAACGGCTCCATGTCTAGTTGGCAGCCGGTATCAAGCGGAGTGCCCCAAGGGTCTGTCCTGGGGCCGGTTTTGTTCAATATCTTCATTAATGATCTGGAGGATGGTGTGGACTGCACTCTCAGCAAGTTTGCAGATGACACTAAACTGGGAGGAGTGGTAGATATGCTGGAGGGTAGGGATAGGTTACAGAGGGACCTAGACAAATTAGAGGATTGGGCCAAAAGAAACCTGATGACGTTCAACAAGGACAAGTGCAGAGTCCTGCTCTTAGGATGGAAGAATCCCATGCACTGTTACAGACTAGGGACCGAATGGCTAGGAAGCAGTTCTGCAGAAAAGGACCTAGGGGTTACAGTGGATGAGAAGCTGGATATGAGTCAACAGTGTGCCCTTGTTTCCAAGAAGGCTAACAGCATTTTGGGCTGTATAAGTAGGGGCATTGCCAGCAGATCGAGGGATGTGATCGTTCCCCTCTATTCGACATTGGTGAGGACTCATCTGGAGTACTGTGTCCAGTTTTGGGCCCCACACTACAAGAAGGATGTGGAAAAATTGGAAAGAGTCCAGCGGAGCACAACAAAAATGATTAGGGGGCTGGAGCACATGACTTATGAGGAGAGGCTGAGGGAACTGGGATTGTTTAGTCTGCAGAAGAGAAGAATGAGGGGGGATTTGATAGCTGCTTTCAACTACCTGAAAGGGGGTTCCAAAGAGGATGGATCTAGACTGTTCTCAGTGGTGGCAGATGACAGAACAAGGAGTAATGGTCTCAAGTTGCAGTGGGGGAGGTTTAGGTTGGATATTAGGAAAAACTTTTTCACTAGGAGGGTGGTGAAGCACTGGAATGTGTTACCTAGGGTGGTGGTGGAATCTCCTTCCTTAGAGGTTTTTAAGGTCAGGCTTGACAAAGCCCTGGCTGGGATGATTTAGTTGGGGATTGGTCCTGCTTTGAGCAAGGGGTTGGACTAGATGACCTCCTGAGGTCCCTTCCAACCCTGATATTCTATGATCTATGTACTTTCCCCTATTCCCCGCCTCTGCAGCTGTCCACCCAACTACTCTTCTGGTGCTCCCCATGCTCTGGCTCTTGCATCCCCCTGCTCTCCTGAGTACCAATCCAGTGCCCTAACCACAAAAAACATTTCTCATTGGACCAAGACTTCTAATTTATTTACATAGGCTACATAACAACCATCAGTTAACAACTCTGTCACTCATTGATATGAATCAGCAACCTACAAGTCACAAGTAAAATACATTTGGGACCTAATTTGGTTGACAGTAATTAATATCTCCTCTGTATTTTGTGTTTAATTTCTAATTATATCTATTTTACCCAGATACAAAAAGAGCTGTCCTCCGAGTAGACATTTGAAATCAAGCCGTCCCACATATGGAGCTGTGACTACCTTCCTTGTACAATCACTGGTCACGCAAGCAGAACCTCGCTTTGCCCTTTTTGGACCAGGTTTAGAAGAATTGGATGAATCTTTGGTGCGAAGAATGATGACTTGCCCAGAAATTTTGCCTGTAGCTGGCTTACCTCAAAGACAAATCCATGGTAATAGTCAGTTGTTTCTTTAAAAACATGTTCTACAAGAGAAAGGGTGCTTTTTATACCTCCCTTTAAAACGAATATTAGTTTTAAAGACTGTGTTATACAGGAGATCAGACTAGATGATTGCAAAGACCCCTTTTGGCCTTAGGATCTATGAATCTATACTAAAACTGGATTTTTTCCCTCTCTGTGGCTGATTAGAGGAATAAAATGCCATTGTAGAACAATAAGCATTCGGGGTGAAATCTTTCTACCTTGAAGTCAGTGGGAAAACGTGCATTGAAATCAATGGTGTGTGGTGGGTGTCTGTGTGTCTGTCTGTCTCTCCAGAGTTCACTCTGGGGTTTTGGTCCAGAACTTAAAGTCAGATATGCTGTTGATCATGGATTAGTCTTGAGCCCAGTTTTCTTTAGCTGACATTAATACTATGTCCTTTTTTTAAAAATTACTTTTGCTTGATTGCCTGCACTTTATACAAAAAAAGTGTGTAGGTACAAAAAAAGGAAAAGTGGATGAAGGACCCCATTTCCTACTTAAATCTAAGTTATATATGAGATTGGTAATAAAATGCCTTTATTAAAAAGAACAGTGACCTAGGAAAATGTGGGAAGTTGTTAAATGATTAATCAACATGATTTTACATAAAATATAGTTCTAAACATCTGCAGTTTCCCCTCACTCTAAACCAGAGTAAAAAATCTCAAAAATTATTTGATTGGGAGCCACTGATATTTATTTATTCATAACTGAATTGGAATAATGAAGTTGTGCTCACAGGTGGCATATGCAAATATACATTTTTAGTGCTGTTTTCCTGCTGTCATATGTCACACTTGTTGCATTATCTTTTAAATTAGGTGTAAAACATTTTGGATAGAACTTAATATGTGATTTAAGAACAGGAAGCGCAGTAGAGCTTGATCCTGATTGGGGGTCTAAGTGCTTCTGCAGTACAAATTTTAAATAACTTATTTAGGTACTTGAAATAATTCCAAGTGCCATCCAATCTTTTATAGCAATACTGAATTAAATTACCAGCATCTCAGTGTGATCAATTTAGTGTGTGTCTAAAGTCACATTCTGATGCAATGACTATATTTTCTTGTAGTATAGAGACACAAGATTATGTGTGTCCAATTTATGATCCCTATGGATTTTTCAGCCTTTGGCTTTAGCTGTCTTTAGCAATTGAATATTTTTATATCCTAAATTCATTTTGTTCCTCTTGTAGGGATTGGATCAGGAGTCAGTTTTCAATTTAATAACCATCGAAATTTCAATATTTTGACATTGTATTCAACTACCAGGTAAGGCTTGTTCTCTGCAAAAAAAAAATCAACTGGATGTTATCAGTTATTTCAGCTTTTTCCCTGGTCTCAACCACTAATGTAATTTGAATATCACAGTACTTGATTGTTTCTGTAAATCAGGTGGATGAACATCTCCTGTAAATTACATCAATTGGCAATGCCACTCACAAATTGTGTGGCAAAAGGTAGGCCTAGTTTTTTAAATCTGGCCCAAAGAATCTTTGATCAGCATGAGTATGTGTGTGTGTAATGTATAAAGAGCAGTGCCTTTCCTTTTTGTGTCTCTAACTTTATTTTTGAAATGTATAAGCATGAACCTACCCATTGGTGCATGTTGGTATGGATCTTGCAAAACTGGTTAACTATGCATGCAAATTATAAAAAGTTGTTTCAGGGATGAAACTGTTCTGCATGTTTTGGCCATTCCCCTCTCCCCTCTTTGTGGAGTACCCTCCCCTTTGCCATTCTCCTTCCAAATTAGTCTGGATAATTTTGTTAAATGTTTGGGATGTTTTCATATTTTTCAGCATGGAAAGGAAGAGAGCAAGAACAGAGCAAACTGTTACAGTCAATAAGATGTTTTACCAAGAAAACAGCATAGGGGGCAATCAACAGGCAGTACACTACAATGTAATTGCTCAAGTTAAAAAAGTGTGCGAAGTAGTTGATGGATTCATCTATGTTGCTAATGCGGAAGCTCATAAAAGTAAGGAATGTTTATTTTAACTATGTTGACTCATATTTTGCGGATGGTTGAGATGCTGCTAATACATGAGAATACATTTATACTTTGAAGGCCAAATTCTGATCTTATTGTTCACCTTCAGAAGTGCAAAGAAAGATACTAATCAATATAAGTAAGAATTATGAGTCCAAATGAAGTTAGTGTGGTTTCAGGACAATTCTTACTAATGATTGACTACTGAATCTGCTATATAACTTGAGGAATTTAATTTTACAAGGACACTACTAAGCAGGTTATATGCAGTTTTGCTACAATATAAAAGTAAGGTGTGCTCAGTTATTCCTTTTGTGTAAATAATTGTTTGGTATGAATTCTTAATAATCTGAGCTAAAGATCAGAGCAAATGAGATGGGCATTTAAAAATGTCAAATGGAAAGATTTAGTTTTGTTAATGGCTAAGTAAAGCCTTCTTATTCATGTCTGAATACTAGTGACATCATAGCAGAATTTTTTGGAAGCCTTTGTGATCCATCACTAACTTTGCGCACACAGCAGCTGACTTCCCTGTGATCTGCCACACACCATCTGTCCTTCTGCTCACTTGTCATCATCTACTATGGTGACCCACCACCATTCCTTCCATGATAACTTTCTCAAGGATATTTCCATCTCTATGCCAAATGTGACCAAAGTATATAAGTTTGCACCTGTTGATTTCCAAGAGCAGAATCCACTTCTCTCCAATAATATTTCTAACATAAGCATGCATTGTCTTCTCCGTCCAGGAGATATGCAAGAGTCTTTGCCAGCACCACATCTCTTCTTTTTTCTTCTTGCCAGCTGTATTAGTTTTCCAGGATTCACATCTATAAGTTGCTATGGAAAAAATTAAGCTTTTGAGCAATCTAACAGTAATACATTTTGAGATACCATGGTTTTTCCACAGTTTCATGAGGGAGGCCTTGCTGAGCAAGCCATCCCTAGTTGTCTTCAGATTTCTTTGGAGCAGCCTCCTTGCTTGAATATGTATGATCCCAGATAATTAAATTCAACTATTGCCTCTACAGCTTCACTGCTGATCATGATGTTTGCTTGCATCCTGTTGTTATTGATCATGTCAACGTACATGAATTTCATTTTTGCCACATTCAGGAATAGTCCATGTTCTTCACTGTTTTTACAGACTCCAACATTTATTGCATTGCATCGATTGGTTTCACCAAAGAGCATCATATCAGCATATCTGAGGTTGGTTAAGAAGTGTCCATCAATGGAAGTCCCAGTCCCTTGCACCTTATCAAAATCTTCCAGGGCTTGTCTCATGATAAATTCTGCATATACGTTGAAAAGACCCGGGGACAGAATACACTCATGTCTCGGACTCTCCCCAATGGAAAACCAATCGCTGTTGCCCGCTGCTGTGGTCTGTTGTGAACAGTAGAGACTTGCAGCGAGTTCAGTGAAATGCTTTGGAGTACTCTACAAAACGTATTGGGAGATTATACTCCCTACATTTTTCATTATATGACTAATATTTGCAATTTGATCACATGTGCCTCTCCCCTCTCTGAAACCAGCTTGTTGTGGTGCTACTTCTGCTTCTGTCAATTGCTTCAGGCAATCCTGAATTACGCAGAGCAATACTTTAATTGTGTGTGATATCGGGGAGATGGTTTGATAGTTACTGCACTCTGTTATATCCCCTTTCTTTGTAAAAGCAGAAAGATTCCTTTCGTCCAGTCTTCCCACCAATTTCAAATCATCCACGCGTCATTGCAGATTTTCCGCATGAGAGCAATACCACGGTCACCAATTGCTTTTAGTAATTCTGCTGGTACATTATTTACCACTGCTTCTTTTCCAAACTTCATTTTCATAATAACATGCACCATTTCTTCTCGGAGGACTGATGCCTCTGGCTCCGTGCTCTCTTTTCTGTCATCCTGCATTGTAAGTGGCTCTGATGAGACATACAGGTTGGCACTGTAATCTGAATCACCTTCAGTAAGAACTGTGCCATCATGATCTTTTATAATGCTCGGTCATGGGGAAAACTTTTTGGTAAGAAATCTGACCACTGTGAATATACCTTTTTATATTATTAGTCTCTTTATAATTCTCAAATTCCTCACATTTTGCCCTGATGTATTCACTTTTGTCTAGTGTGCCTTTGAATCTGTGTGCTCAGTTCCTTGTATTCTCTCCAGTGTTCTTCAGTTTCCAATCCACTCTTTCATTCTGTCATTTTTTTCATTAGCTCAAACACCTTCTCCATTAACCATGGTGTGGTCCAACTCTGACTTTTCAGAATGTGTGCTTAGATGGCTTTGAGCATGATAGTATTCATTTTATTCCAGAGTTCATTCGGGTTGTTTCTTCTCTTTAAGGAGACTGTCCATTATCAAATGGTTGGTAGTCTCTACAGTTTCTCCTAATGTATGCACTGAAATATCTCATTAGTTTATCATATGTCTGGCACTGCACTGAAACAGAGTTCTGCTATCATCTAAAGTTCTTTCCTTGCTTATTTTCATGTAATGACAGTATAACTCTCCTTCTTTGACCTAGTCTTAAACAGTTGTGTGTTTTTTAACGGTCCATTAACGGGAAGTTGAATCAAACAGGTTACCTGTTGATTTTTAAAATGTGTTTCAGTTGGGAGTATTTAAACTAGAGCATGTATTTACATTTAGGATTGTTTCTAGCATCTAATTTTATTTACAGAAGATGTAGAACTATAATGAAGAAACATGTCCTGAATATCTTTTAATACTGAAGGTGTGTTTACTTTTTGTTTCTTCAGCCTTCATCCATGCTAGATTGTCTTCATAATCATTGCCTTTTAAAAGGAGGAAGAAGTCAGATCAGGAAGGGAGAGGTGGAAGGAAGAGGAAGGAGGGGCAACTCACTGCCCCAACTGCCTCTATGGAAGTTAGGAAAATGGCCTATTGTGACTTTGGTTATTATCGCTTGGAAGGTACTCCAGTAACAACAATTATATGTATCCTCCTAAGAACCAAGATAGAAGAAAATGTAATAAAGATGAGTTTGATTATATATAGTGAGGTTTGTATATAGTCTAATACTCCTATTTCAATCTGTTTTCTAGAACATGACCGTCAAGATGAATTTGCTCGTATTTTGGCAATGCTAGATCCAACTCTTGGGCCTCCAAACAGACCTGTACTGATTTTGTCCTGCACCTCTGAAGTTGGCATTAAAAGAATCCCTTGTGTTTACATGGCACATCAACTGCAATTAAATCTGCTAAAGCAACCATGGATGGTATCTTCACTTCTTAAAATATTTGTTTTCTTTTTACTCATCCTCTTTATATTGTCTTGTGAGTGAGCAGTAATGTTTGAAGTGGGCTTTAATTTAAATGTTAGTGGCACACTGTAGTTAAAGGAGAACTGCCAGGCAGTAAAGCCTAAATACAGATTTTAGATCAAATATTTTCCTTTGCCTTCATAAGGATAATGTTGGAAAGCTTTGTGTATTTTTAAAACATACCGCTGTTATTTAGAAGATTACATAATTTGAATGGAAATATACTAGAAATTATAGAATTCATAATGTATGTGAAATTCTAAAGTTTGAA